GCAGTTTAAGGTTTTCCTTGGAGAGCTTGTTGATGTAATTGAATAGTGCTTACGCTTGAATAGTTGATAGCGTGTAAGTAGAAAAGGCAAAGAGTGATGAGGGAAAGCGAGACAGAAACTCACATGTTCCCTGAGGTGTAAAAGAAAAGGCATTTGGAGAGTCAGATGAGGAACATTTCAAAACCCATCTTCATTTTCTTCAACACTGGTTACAGGAAGGGAGTTTTTATCCATCCTAAGGGCTTGTTTGGGTAAGCATGGGCTGCTTTTTAAGGATTAGGAGGATTTAGGTGCTTGGAATTTGTTTTGTTACACATTATTTTGATTAAATGAAAACATTCGGACTTGATTAAATTGGTTTTTCTGGAGCTGTTCAAGGTTGTTGGAGTATCTTGAAAACAAATTAGATGATGTAATTACATGGACAAACTGTATATCAGTGGTTTCCTAGCTTCTTTGTTGATGATTTCATGCCCTATTCTTTTGTCTCCAACCCATAGCTGTGGCAGCTTTACCGGGATTCACGTTGCAAATGTTCTCCTTTTTCTACGCATTCAGCCTTTCAGAGACTCCCTGTGGGGGCATCTTGACACACCTTCTCTGCTTGGCTCATTTTGAACAGCGATACCCACCAAGCTGTCCCAGGCTGGAGAGAATTGAGGCCTTTGGATGCCAGAGAAATCAAAACTTGTTATTGCCAATTAATTGCCCAACGATGAGAAGAATACTTAAAATATTTGTTATTCCTTAAACCTGTCTCTACATTTCTAAAGGATGGTTGTTTATTTATATTAAGAAATCGTTAAATTTGTTCAATCATATGTTGGCTTAAGAGACAGTTGAGAGACTTGGCTTACAGCAGATCTGAATGAAGAATTTGTTGCCTTTCTTAGGTCCATTAATACTTTTTTTGTTTTGTTTGTAAGATACCCACATGTGAACTGAAATTTCTTGTCGTCTTGTGCAGACCTATCTCCACATTTTTATCAGGCTCCGAGCAGCTAGAGGATTTCACACCATAATGGATATTTTTATTTCTGGGTTTTTTTTTTTTTTTTTCCTTTTCAGAGGAAATGGCAACAGCCCAGTGAGAATCAAGCTCCGGTGTGCCCTTTGTCTGAATGCCAGTTGTGAACATATGTGCAAACCCAGTATCTTCTAATGGTCTCTCCCAGCACATGGGTCTGGGTTTTGTCAGGAGTGTCCCCTATGCCTCTGGCAGCATTCAGCCATTCTGTTTGTTTAAGTTCTTTAACCTCAATGACGAAACAAAATAAAGCAAAAACTTTCATTAGAAGTTGAGCTGTTCAAACATACCCTGGCTTTATATCCTGTTCCTATCTTAAGTGGTTCTTTCCCCAGGGCTCTTTGGTCTTTGTTAGCCTGAGATTCCCAGAGCCTTGTCGAGGAAAAGTAGCGTTTCCTTCCTCTGGCTTTTCAGAGGCTTACCCCGCTTCAGCTCACTTTTCTCAAATGGTCTGTGTGTAATTCCAGCTCTGGTGAAGTTGTGTGCCTGTGATTTCCAGCACCAGTGTCATAATCAAATGTCGCCCTTTCTCCTGGCCATAAACTGCCTGAGGAAACATCACAGTTAGTGTGTGTGTGTGTGCTTGTTATACCTATTTAAAATTATGAGATATTTTATTTCAACATGTTTCATTCTTAATTTTTTGTGGTTTGTTTTGGTTTTTTTTAAGTTCTCATAATGTTTGCCATTTGAGATTATCAAGTTTTCAGTTCAACCTGGCGATCACGTCCTATTTGTTTTTACATGGCTGAGTATAACTTAAAATTGTGTATTTCAGAATTTTAAATTTTTTTCTTACAGAATTTTATATTCTCAGAATAGGTTTAATGTATTCTCGTTTAAAGTTCATTCCTCATATGTTAGGCCAAACCTTCGAGAGATGTAAATCAATATATCTGTATATAAGTCAGTTGACTGAGTGATTTGCCTCACAGGATAATGTGGGCAGCTTGGAATTTTTTTTCCTGTTTGTCGTGGTTTAACCTGGCAGGCAGCCAAATACCATGCAGCCACTCACTCACTCCGCCCCCCCCCCAACCCCGCAGTGGGATGGGGAGAGAATCGGAAGGGGAAGAGTGAGAAAAATTTGTGGGCTGACGTAAAGAAAGTTTAATAGAACAGAAAAGGGAAAATAATAATGATAATGATAGAATATACAAAATGAGTGATGCACAATGCAATTGCTCACCACCCGCGCTGACCGATAACCAAGTAGCGATGGCTACTGCCTGGATCACGCCTACCATTCATATACTGAGCATGATGTCACATGGTATGGAATACTCCATTAGCCAGCTGGGCTGGCTGTCCTGATGATGTTCCCTCCCATCTTGTGTACCTAGCTCAGTCAGTAGGCATGGGAGCTGTCCTTGGACTAGGAGGGTACTTAGCAACAACTGAAAACATCAGTGTGTTATCAACATTCTCCTCATACTAAATCCAAAACACAGCACTAGAAGAGATTTAACCCTATTCCAGCCAAAACCAGGACACTGTTACATGTAAATACTGAGAAATTAAACATTCTTCATTATTTACCTCATACTAGACCTTTCAGTGGCATTTGTTTGCCCTTACTTGCACAAGTTATTTATGTGAATATCCACAGCAAACAGTTATGAAAAGGGACATGAATGAACTCTTTTCTATCGGTATCTTCTTTCCCAGTATTTTTAACACAAACTTTTGTTTGCTTGAAAGCAAAGCTTTTCATGTGCCCGTTCGTTACTCAGCGGGCTCCTGCAGGAGAGGAAAGCCTGAAGAGCGCCCTGTAATGCAGAGATACCCGCGTGACATGGCCTTCCAGACACTGACTGCTTTATAGGAACAGAAGCTCGGAAGAAAGTAATTTATTTTGGTGGAAATATTGGGTACATTTATATTGTTTAAAAGCTGTATTTTGCACATTACCTTGTAGCCTTGAGGCCGGAGAGGGCAGGAAGAAAACCTGTGGGATAGACTTCTTGCACTGAAGGAATTCCTCAGTGAGACTATTTCTGTTTGCCTTTGTTTCACTGTACTTCTTTCAAACACCAAATTGCTGTCCCCTTAAGGCTACTTTACACTATTTCATTGTGTGATGTTACTTTTGCAGGAAAACAACCTTAGCTTTCAACCTTGCTCAGGCAGATCTTTACAAGTACCTAAAATTCTTTTATGTTGTCACTGTTGAAGTAAACCTGCTCGTTTGTGGCTGCTCAGGAAGAAATGGTACCAGAGAGAGAGATAGCTGTCATGCTTTAATTACTGCTGGGGTCAAAAATCCTTCATTTTGCCCCTAAGTAACAGCCGTTCTGTAAGGATGTCTTTTATACACTCAGATAAAGTCCCAACAGCATTGGGACCCAAAAAAGCGAGGCCTGCGCTGGCATGGACAGTCTTCCGGAGTCAGCTAGGCCTTTTAGCACAGTGCTACAGCTTGAAGTACTTTCAGTCAGTTTATATGAAATGAAAAAATGAGATAAGATGAGGAAAATATTAAATATACATTTGCAGAGTGGAAAAACAATTCTGGCTGTTTACATTTGTGCGTGGACCTATCTGGTGATCAGGCAGCACTGTTCCGGAACCTGTCAGCACAATGTAAGGGTGCTCTGTGACGAGCTGGGTTGACTGCGCTGTTTCTTGAGCCCTCTTCCTCGGCCAAGTGAGTTACACAGCTGGGCTGGAACTCTTTGGGCTGCTGAATGTCCTACTTTGTCTTCTTGTGAAGACAACACACAGGTTCCTTTTCCAATACTGACGTTTTATGGTATTAATAATAGCAATAGGCTGCAGTTGTCCAGAGATTACACCACTTGGAATAATAAGCACTAGGTTCCTAATTACCTTGCGTTATCTACAGTTTCTCATTTTTATTGTAATGCAATACAGACTGAGCAATACCAATCCAGCAAAATGCCGTAATTACGGTAAAGTCTAGATTTTTATTTATTTATTTTTACAGTCAGAATCTTATCTTAAAGCTGACAAATGGATACTCTGTGCTATTTCTCCAAAACTCTTGGATTTCTGAACAAATTACCTTAGTTTGTCTTGAACAAAAATGTACGTTTTTTTTCCTGTTGTTTTTACATCATTTAGTTCTTGAAAATGTTGACAGCTCAGCTAGATTATGGTTGATTATAAAGTCCCACATCATATTTTTAGAAAGTGCTGAACCATGCCTCTTACTGTTTGTAACTCCGAGTTAAGAAGTATTTTTCATTTGATGTTGACATTTTTCATGTTTCATCTGATAATTTATATTGCTGTAAATGTGAAAGTATAGCTGGCACAGAAGTAATTACTCTTGTCTTTATATTGGAGTTAAAATATTTTAACACTTTGAAATTTGTCACTGAAATTATTTGAGTAGAATCTCTTGATATTTTTATGATCTTCATGGGTGGGTATACAAATTAGCTTCTTTCATTTGAGAGATACATGTTAAGCAAAAATCTAGATACTCAGTAAGACATGGTTTTCCAGAGAACAGCCAAGACTTACAGTGAAAATGGAAAATTTATCCCCAGTATTGTCTACTTTCCAGTGAGTTTTTCCCCAGTCTTCCAGGGAAGCGTAGGTAGCCCAGGATTTTCAGAAATGGGAGGCTGACTAAATAAAAATACCTGTACTGAAGTGAGAATAAAAGGTGCAGCCAGGCACCATATTAATTTAGCATCTTGCTTAATAGCATAATGAACTAAAATAGCTGGGATTTCTAAGGGAAGAATGTGCTTGCCATGTTTGTCATGGAGAGAAGATGCAAACCAGGCAGAGGTCGCAAAGAGGGGAAGGGAAGTGGTTCTACCACAAGGCAATTAAAAGCGCATGTCAGATGGGTAGTCAGAAGAACTACCCATCTTCAGATGTCAGAAGAACAAAGGGCCCCCAGCCCTATTCCTTTCCCCCTTGACTTCTGTGGGATATGTGGTCAGATAATACTAAAGCTAAAGGCATTAACAAATTTTTCTTTCTGTTTTCATTTCAGTTATTTGCCACCTTCCATGCATGAATGGAGGCCAGTGCAGTTCTAGAGATAAATGCCAGTGCCCTCCTAATTACACTGGTAAACTTTGTCAGATCCCTGTGCAGACGGCCAATACTCCAAAACTGTACCATCACCCACAACAGGTGAACAAGGCTGTAGGATCACAAATTATCCACTCTACTCATACTTTACCACTGACGATGTCAGGACAGCAAGGTGTAAAAGGTAACTTTTTTCTTGATAGATTTTTTTTTTTTTCCTTTGGAGTTGATTTTATTAACTAATTTTGGGTATCCAACCAGTAATGATAGTGATCTGTCTACATAGTTTGAATTTTGACACCACAACTTGAATCGTGAGCTCACCAGAATGACTGGGAAGTATTTTGCTCAATGACTGAAATAATAAGAAATAACAGTGCTATTGAAAAGAGTTTATATGTAAAAGTACTTTGCTTTTCGGTGGAATTTAATGCAGATTGCAGAGTCAAAGGATAATGGAGGGGGCTTCCTCCAGGAGTGTAGACCTGTTCAAAAAGAGGATGATTGTGGCTGAACAGAGTCCATAAATTGCAGTATACCTAGATAGAAAGTTGCGGGTGATTCCATGGTTACTAGTGGAGGGAAGAGACGATGCTTTTCAACATAAAATTTAAATCTAACGTAAAACTAAAAATACAATCCCTGTTTATCTTTGTTGTGTCATTTGGTAAAATCCTGTAAGTTAATTTTGTGGTGAACTTTTTAATGTAGACAGGCCATGATATGATTCAGAGAAATAGAACGTTCTTTTCAGGTCATGTAACAGTATCATAGAAAAAAATGGTAAGGATTTTCTACTGCTAATGCTGTGAAGAAGGCAGAGGATAAGAAACAAGAAAAGCTGTGGTGTTCATCAAATTTTGCCCAAAGAAAGTTCAGTCAGCTTCACGTTTCCTAATACTTTTTTGTAAGGTGACAAATTCTGATGACTTTGAAGAGCAGTGTTGAATTCGTTTCCTGTGTGTTCTATGACTCTAGGTAGCATTTTATCTGGGTGAGATCCTGTCCATATGGAAAGACACCTGCGATTCGGTTTCACAACATATGAGTTAGTGTGAATTTTGTTTGTTTGTTTGAATTGCCAGATTGATTTTTTTTTTTCTTTTTTTTTCTTTTTTCTCTTGTCAAGGGTAATTTTACAATTACCTCTCCAAGATTGCTGGATACCTCTGCATAAAAACAAAATATATGGGGGAAAGATGTGAGGAGGCACAGTTGTTGGCAGCTAGTTCCTGAATAACTTTGCTAAAAGAGGCCAAACTGTTTATGTAGTTGTGATAAATATAATCTAAAGTTGTAATTTTGTGTTCAGGCAGGGACATAGCTGTGAAGGAAGTGTTGACAGTATCTTTCTGGAAACACAATATTTTATAAATGCTTTTAGGTATCTGCTCCATCTTTTCAATGGATTTGTTCTCTAGGGACTGATACACAGTCCATTGGGCAATAGTTTCCACTGACAAGTTGGAGTGTTAGTCCCTAAAGCTCCCCACAACTTTTCTGACTCTTTAAAAAAAAAAAAGCGGGGGGGGGGAGAGAAGGGAGGAGTGAGAGAATAACAGAATATAGTTATCTAAACATTTAGCAGAGCAGAAATTTATTTCTGTGACTATTTAATTCCAGAGCAAATTACTTTAGACAATATGGTGGACCATAAAAAAATTATTTTTAAGACATAGTTGTTTTTCAGTTTTAGAGTTGTTGTCTTAGAAGACACAATAGGTTTCTCATTGCTAAAGAGTCTGACCTCTTGATTTTTTTTTTTTTTTTTCCTGCCCCTCAAGTCCTCATCAGAACCATCAGCAGCCACAATGCCTTTTCTTCCCATTCCATGCCCAAATGAGGATGTTGGATTGTGGAGAGAGGAATGTTTCATTTCTTTCAAGGAAAGAATGAAACAATTCATCCTGAAATGGCTAGCAGAAGTAAAATTAATCAGCACATCTAGGCAGTGACCCAAGACCTGGAGAGGATTGTGGTGATAATACTACACAGGAGGGATCAGCCTAAATTTGATGTTTTCAGCATCTGAACATCTCTAGGTGGATTGATAGATTAAAGCAGAGCAATTCAGTGCTTTCTTTTGAGGGCTAATTTATTCTTTAGATTTATCAGTTGGAGAAACTAGTTGAAGGGATCTTTCTTCATACATAAAAGTGTATGATAGTAAGTTGGGGTGAGTTTTGTTCTTTTCACAGCCAGACTATGCTGTCTTGTCCTGCCCTGCAAAACTGGTCTAATAGCCTCAGAAGGGCCTTACTGCTTCTCCTAGTAACACTGAATCTTTTCCTTGGGGGTTTACCCGTAACAGAACTCATGTAGCATAAATTTTGCTTGAAGGTTGTTTTCCGCTACAGGCAAGATCTGAAGAGCCATTAAGGCCCTGCAGCCATATTTTGCTGACTTTCTACTACCTTATTCCTGGTGTTTCTATCTGCAATAAATTGAAGATTTTCATAAATGAAACAGGGCAGAGTGCTGGGCAGAGTAAAAATAAGTTTGTTTCTTCTAAGGAATTCCTATGTGACACCAATTAATACTGAAAATGTGCCTAGAGAAATGAAAATAATGTGAAAAACCAAAAGTAATTTCTACAAAATAATAAAATTTTGAAGCAGCTAAAATAAATGAAATATACTTCCTGGGAAGTGGAGCTGTGAGACTGAAATTTGTAAATAAGAACTGAAAATGCCTAATCAAGTTCCAAAGAACTGTCTGGCCTCCTGGAGGCAAGGATCAATTCAGAAGACTCAACAATCCAGTATGCGTTATGGAGAAAGTATGTCAAATGATATTTGTTGGTTCTTGATGTTTGGATGGGGTGTTAGATCTAATGGATTGGCTGGCTTTGAGTAGTCTGTGCAGTACTTGCTGATGAGAGAGACCCAGCCAGACACAGCAAATGCTAACTTTGTTATGCAGCTTACAAACTGTAAAACTTTTTACACACCTCTGCTCCCTGCCCCTCCCCAATAATAATTTGAGTTACATGTTTAAAGGGCATTTTGCGTTTCAATGAAAAGAAGCTTGAGGGTCATAAATAGTTCTGTGCACGTTAAGTTGACTGGAGTGGCTGAATCTATATACCCAGACTTAAAACTACAACTGTATTTAAAAACAGAAGTATCTGAAAAACATTTCCTCCCTCTTTATCTGCCAAATCCTGAATTCAAAGTTCAGTGAAGGGAGTGGTGGTTTTAGATGGTTGAGATGCTGGCAAGTGTTGCAGGGGCAAACTCAGTACTTGGCAGGTATATAAAGGTGAAGGGATGAAATCTGAAGCTTTTTCTGTGTTCCGGAGCAAGATGATGGATCTGAAAAAGAAAATAAAGCTTACTATATATCCAAAAATAACCCAGTGGAGTTTGAATTCTGGAACTTTGAATGGGATTCTTATTACACAGTATGACCACAAATATTAATGTCATACCAGCCAATTTGGACATCCATGTTTATGTAGCAGTTTTTACAATGCTATAATGTCATTCTTTCCTGTGTGAAGAGTTTTCATTTTCTGCTTTGTAAATGAGACTCTATGCATTCTTTCAGCCTTCTCTCTAACCCCCAAATTTGGGCTTTGTTTATATTTTGGTCATTTCAAGGCACTCTATAAAAATTGTAATGTATAAAAAAGAGATGTCTTAGAGGTGCCTAAGGTCTCTTTTTTGACATATTTTATTACCAATTTTTTAATGTGTTTTTCCTTCAATTATTTTAGTGAAGTTCCCTCCTAACATAGTGAATATCCATGTGAAACATCCCCCTGAAGCCTCAGTTCAGATCCATCAAGTTTCAAGAATTGACAGCACATCAACAGGACAAAAAGCGAAAGCACCTCAGCCAGGACATCCACAGGTCTCTTACCAAGGTCTTCCGTATCAGAAGACCCAGAAAGGACATACTACTTACACAAATCAACAACCCATTCCTCATATGTTTCCTGTTTCAGTTAAAACTCAGCTTGGGCGCTGCTTCCAGGAGACTATTGGGACACAGGTAAGAAATGTTTGCTAAGGCTGTTGAGATGGGTAGCTTTAAAACAATATCATAAAAGAATGAAAAAATTCTTCACCAATCACAGGGAAAGGACACATTTGATATTCTTTTCCAAAAGAAAATTCTTGTGAGAATGGACTGTAAAATTTTTTTTAAAAGTAACATTTTTCTGAACCTCCTTCTCCTTCAAGCTAATGTCTTTATTTTCTGCGGACTTGACTCCCTGACATTCTGATTTCAGTTATTCTAGCCATAACTTCTCCATTTATAAGCTATTTCTTCAAAGTAAAAAACATTACTTAAATCCTAGCTCCATCACTCCTGATTGAACAACTAAGGTTACACCACCTTCCACAGCTTGTACTGTCCTTTGGTTTAATGAGTCTTTTTGCACGTGTGTCTCAACAGCCAGTGTTTTTCAAGGAGTTGCAGTTTTCATTGAAATTCCTGATCAACAACTTCATATGTTTTACAGTATTGTAGCCTAATGTTTTGAATCTGTTGAAATGTGACCGTTGAATAGGGTAGAAAAATCATGAAAGCCAATTGAGTGTTTGCTAGAGCATTAAAAGCCTAGTTCAGTTTAAAATAATATGTTCACATCAGTTTTTACATGACTATTCAAAATTGCATGTCTTCTTTCAGCTCTTGAAAGCACTTTAAGCAACACAGCATTATCATTTTTGCGTATTTGTATATATATGTAAATACAGAGAGAGAGGTAAAAAAGCATATATGAGAGATTGTAAAAAAAATTAGTAAGACCCTGTTATTTATCACCTTGCTGAAATTTAACTTTTCAAATCAATTTTTTTTTTTTTACCTTGAATGCATGCCTCAGGCTGAAATTTTGTGGGAGGTTTCAGAAAAATCACTCATTTTGAGGAATGATGTTAGAGAATGAATATGTTGCTTTACTCGGGCTAAAAACAATAGTTGACGACTGTTTCATGAAGATTTGGATCGTCTGTATGCTTTGAAATAGAAACTTAAATTTAGCACAAGGGTCACACTGCTTTTGGTCCTTCAGTAAGATGCACCTAAAGTTAGCCAATTTTCAAGCATCTAAAAATATATCTATTTCCAATATATTCCACAACATTTGTTAGATGTTGGCAGCAAAATTCTCCGAAGATTTCACCTGCACAGAGAATGGTCTGCCTTCCCCTCAAAGGGAGAGCACCCATCATCCCTGAAATGCAGGAATGGAGCAAAATGTCCTTTACAAGTGTTTCTTCTAGCTGTCAGTGAATGCTGTGATGCCAAGCATTAGAACTGACAGCAAGGAAATTTCCTCATGGCTCCCAAGCAGCGCACACACACACACACACAGGAAAAAAAAAAAAAAACCAACAACAAATCAACAGAAAGAAAAAAGAGGGAAGAGACCTCACTCACAGAGGGGCAAGGAGCTTTGGAGAGGATCAGTGATGGGGAACAGACAGGAGCCAGAAGCAGAATGCAGTCAGAAGCAGCGTGAGGGTAATGTAGGTGGCAGATCCCAAGGTAATGATAGCAATTACCTTCTGGAACCTCAAACTGAAATCACAGTTCCTTAGACTCTGTCATCCTCTGCCAGCTCCAAAGAGCTGACTTTTTTTTCTGTAAAATAATTTTCTGTTTTCCTTTCGGTGACTGGCTTCTGCAGAGTATTGTAGCAGTAATTAACTCTAGTTTCGGAAGTCACTGCTGTGGAAGTAAAGATCCCAAAACCTGCTCATGCTAGGCCATCCCATGAGGGTGTTTAAAAATAATTCATTCTGAAAAGTGCTATGGAAGAAGTAAATTTAAGCGTCATCATGCCCCAAAAATGTTTCCAGAAGACCAGAGTTAAGTTTGCATATGGAACATTAAAGGCTAGTGTTCACTAATTGTTGAATGTTTGATTTGGGATCCACAGTGTTAATTTATACTGATGAGCTCTTCGTGCTTGTCTGTTTCAGGAATAGTAAAACTTTGCATTTGTTCTTTGACAAGTGGTGAAGCACATGTTCAAAGGGAAGTTCATGGATTTTATATGACAAAATGAAGCAGGGTCTGTGTCAAACAACCATTTCCCTGTATTTCCTAAGAATGAGAGATCTAACAAACATGACATTATAATGGGCCATCATAAAATGCTGGAAATAATTATGATAATAGTTGTTTATTATTTATTTGTATTTCTGTTTGCACTCATATATAGGGAAGACAAAATTCCTTCCTCAATCTTAGACTTGGCAGTGGGTGCTGCATCTTTTATCTCTTACCTCTTACGCTTGATATGTTTCCTGTCTGTTCTTTCTGCTGCATGCATTAGTGAGGTATTTCGAATGACATATCCAAAACTTGCAGTGTCCTATGCATGCCCCTCACGTTACAGTGCTTTTAAGACTAAAGCTTACTCATCGCTCGCCAGAAGACAGTAACATGCTCCTTTTAAAGGGGGAGAAAAGGGGAAATATGTTTGCATTGCCCTCATGCCTGACTTGGAATCCTACTAAATGCTCAGTCTCTGATTTTTATGTTTTTTTCAGTATTCCCCTGGCAAAATGTGTCTTTGCAGTGCTCTCAAGAAAGGGTAGTGCCTCCTAGTTTAGAATAATGCATGTTCTCATTTTTTACAAATTTCATTGATTCTTTCAGTGTCAGTCTTGGGGAGAGCATAGTAAGGATTTTGGAGGCCTTTTGTTATTTAATTTAATGTTCAATTTAGAATTTAAGTTGTACGGTGGCATTTTGTAGAGCATTCATTTAAGACCTTGCCATAAATATAGATTTAAGCAACTCATTCACCTTTCAAATTTGAACCTGAAATGTTGATTTTTTTTTCCTGCACTCAAGCAATGCATATTATTTATTTGTATCTTAAATAGACCTTGAACTGGGAAAGACACTTAATTTTTTTTTTTTAACTCTTAAATAGATCTATTCTAAAAGAATTTGGTTTTCTGTTTCTTTGATATTTGCTTTGCTAAATATGAGGGTTCTCTTTATTTGTTTAGATGAGCTGCTAAACTGAGCTTTCCCTATTAGTAGCAATGTGTTACAAGCCCTTTCTGGAGTTTATGCTGGATAATTTTGATCCTTACTTTTTTCAACAATCATCAATGTTTATACATTTTTTTGCAGGGTGGATTGTATATTTGGCTTCAGAAATGTTTTATTAGATATCCTGGGATCAGAGGTGACTTTACTGTCTGTAGAGGAGACTGATGGAAGGAGATGTGTGTGGCCTTTCGTAGGCAAATCAACCAAGTTAATAAAGACTCTGCTGAACTTACTTTTGGTCCATGCTAAAAGCACAGGATAAAACCAGTATCAGAATCTCTACTGTGGTTTTGTGTGTGTATAACCTCTACCGTTCTATGTTTATCTCCATCTCTTGTTCTCCCCTTCTTCCTTGAATTTCAGCTGGTCTTCAATTACAGGTCTTCTGATTTTAATGCTTTGTTTTTTTCACAACCTTCTGTGGAGTATTTTTCATCTCCTAACACATTCTTCCTCACCCCACCTTATTGAAATTCCTTTAACGTGTCTCATTCAAAAACAGTAGGATACTTGCTATACTCGAATCCCAAGACAGCCAGGGCGTATTTTCTGCAGTGTATTTTCAACAGAGTGCATACTGTTAAAGTTAGCAACTGGAGCCACACTGAACTGAAGCTTGGAAGGCATTATGGTACAGATAGTTGAAGAATCTGGTCGTATTCTCAGGTCTCCGATCACTCCTAATTAACAACATAGAAATTCTTCTAGACCTCCTGTTCGTTTAGTTGTCTATAGTATCATAAGTGACTATAACCAAAGGCAGCAACCGTGAGAAAAGAGTAGGAAACAAACCTTCACCTAAACTTGCACCTTGTTATATAGAAAATTATGTTGAGAAATAGAGACCTGAAGACTGGGGCGATTGGTGGAAGGATCGGGAGCACAAGTAGTGTTTTCCTCAAGCCCTTCGGTGGCAGGGAAGAATACTGAAGGGAACAGGAAAACTCACCAGATCAACACGTGGCTCAGGGGCTGGTGCTATTGGCGAAATTTTGGCTTCTTTGATCATGGGGAGGTTTACACGGCACCGGGCCTGCTGGCAACAGAGTTCGACTGTCTTACAGGGGGAAAAGGATTCTCAC